GGGGGGGCGAGGGCAGGCCAAGCCTCTCCCTGCCATAGCCCCAGGCCTGCCAGCCCAGCCCAGCCCAGCCCTGATGAGGGAGGGAATCCAGCCCTGTGTCTCCACCGGAGGTGGCACAAGGCGTGAAAGGGTGGAGGGCTCCTTCCTCTACTGAGGTAGAGCAGGGCACATGGCACACACCTCACATCTGCCTGTTTAGTCCTAGAAGAATCTGACACCCCAAGCCCTCAAACATGCAACACATATGCAGTGAGCACCTATCGTGTGCCAGGCACTCCAGCGGCCCAGACCCACCCAATGTGCACAGATTCTGGCAGCCACATCACCAAGCCCCCTTCTCATCACAGTTGAATTCATTTTGCTTCCCTTCCCCCACCCTGTTGAGCACAAATCCCGTGTGGGGAGAGTCTAGGACAAGCAGGACTCTACTGAGCCCCACAGACAGATGTGCTGATTAAGGGACAGCAGGAAAGACATTTCCATCTGTTGAGGGGGAGGCGGGAGGTAGTTAAATCATGGAGGGCTTCCAGGAGGAGGTGACAGTGAAGGTCACACAACCCCTTTCTCCTGCTCTTGACCCTGGAGCCCCTAGGCCATACTTCAGATGCCATTTCAGAGCCTGGAGTTCCCTGTGACTTACTCCTTAAAGGCAGGACCTCACAGATCCAAGCTCCTTACGATAGCCAAGGCCCAGAACAGTTAGGTGACTTTCTCAAGATCTCACAGCCCATCTGTAGCCCTGCAGCTCCCCAGCATCCTGCCTGCAGCAAAGACACAGTCTCCCATCCCTGGGAGGTTGGGGTGGTCTTTCTCATTCCTGGGCAGTCTATCAGAGCCTGTCCTTCCCTTTCTAGGGAGGTATGATTAGCCCCATCTGTCAGATGGGGAAACCGAGACTGAGGGGCTACACCAATGTCATGTGGCCACTCAGTGGCAGAAAACGAGCCCAGAACCCAAACTCCCGGCTCTGATGACCAAGTCTCAAGTGCCCAGCACTGTGTTAGCCGCAGAAGTACCCCAGTCGCCATCCTCACCCCATCACCACGAAGCCGGCTTGGCACCCAAGACTATGGACGGGGGACACTGTGGGGGGGGAGGGGAGCAGTCCTGTTTTGGGGGAGCCACCTTTGGGTTCTGAGTTCAGGGCCCACACTCAAGGAGTCCCAAGGAAGAGGGTCCACCTGAGCTCCTGCAGAGTCCTGCCACTTCCACCCACCCCAGGGGAGCAGCCCTGGGTCCAGGGCCAAGAAGGTGAACTGGCACTATGACCCGGCCATTAACAGAGCAGTCACCCAAGAGACGTATCTCTGTTGTCTTCCAGGTAAGGAAACCAAGCCCCAGAGACATCAATGGCTTAGCCAGAGTCACCAACTCCTCACCCCTCCTAGTCTAGGAGGAAGGATCCCAAGTATGCACTCGCCCAGAGGTGTCACAGCAGCTCAGTCAGTTACCTGGGCAAATGTGACCTGAGCAGCATCCCTCCCAGCTGCTGCTGGGGTCTGCGTGAGCTCCTAGGACACCAGGAACCCAGCGGGTGCTGGCAGCTTGGCCCCTGCCTCCAACATCCAAGTAAGAGAACCATGAAAAGGCGGAGCTCAAGGTAACCCCAAAACTCTGCCTCTCAATCCCCAGATGCCCAGCTCCTCATTCTGCCCCTCATGCTTTCCATCTGCATTTATGAAGCACCTACTATGTGCTCTGCACCCAGCTACACCCTGGGGGATCCAAGTAAGCCACACTTAGGATCAAGCGGGGGTCAGCTTGGCAGCTTGGTCCATCCAGAAGGGTCCTAGGACTCTTGGATCCAGTCTTTAAAGTGAGCATCTATCTACTGGCACCTCCCAGACTTGTCTGTCTGGCTCCAGCCTGGACGCCTCCAGGAAAGGACACTCTCTGGGCCTGGATTACCTCCACCACACAACCCGCACATTTCACCTTGAGGCTCAGGGCAGTGAGGCCATACTCTCAAGATCACACAGCAACTCTGTGGCTGTGTTTTGCCTGGGTGCACCCAACACAAGGGGTCACGAGCTTCCTCCAGAAGCTCCTCAAGAACGGTTTACCCCAGGTGGGCTCGCCCTGACCTCTCCAGCTGTCACCAACCCACCTCAACCACCTTCTCCATAAGCTCAGTCTCCTTCCCCCAGGGCACAATTCCACAAGAATCCAGGCTCTGCTTAACTCTCTCCCTTTAAGAGTCTCACGTGTCTCCACACCTCACCCCTACCAGGAGCCCATTCTCTCTGGAGCCCCTGCTGGGGATGACTCCCCAGCCCTCCCCTAGCATCTCAGCTCGAACTCCGAATGAACTTCGCTAGGTGCCATGGAGTAAAGCGGATCCAGCCTGCATCAAAACTCTCCAGCCCGCCAGCCTCTCCAGTGGGGCTTCCCTCACTCCCCGGCTGTGGCTGGGAGGAGCCCTGTCCTGGGACCACCCATCTGGCCCCGTTCTTTCCAGGAGTACAACCCACCCCCACTCTGGCCACATCTCCTCCAGGACCTGGTCTTTCCAGGCTATGGGGAGGAGGAAGTGTTTACCCAACTCCATGAGAAGGCCACAGCATTTTTGCACATATAGGGAAAGGGTCCCACACCTGGTTGCCCAGGGACTGGGACCACCCCTAAGAATCAAGGAACAGATATGGGTACTGGAGCCACTAGTCCAGGGCCCAGAGTCTGCGCTGCACCCCTCCAGGCTGCAGGGAGGTTCAACCCACCTTTGAGCTCAGCAGGTTCCATGAGCCCTAGATGGAAGTTCACCAACTTGCAAGCGAATGTGGCAGAGACCCAGTCCCCGCTTTCGCAAATGCACTGCTTTTCAAGGGTTCACTAAGCCTGGGGGTCCCTCCTGTAGGTGCTTATCCCAGGCTTTGCACTCCGCTGCACACTCCCTTGCCCCCATCTCACTTGCGCTCCGGATAAGCTAGGAGTTGGCGCTGTCACTCCGGGACGGTCAGCAGCCCACCCTTCACAATTCCTGCCCCCAGAGAGACCCCCTGAACCCTCCATGCCGAATGTCCTTCCACCCCAAGTCGCGAACCGGCTCGCCAGTCCTCGTGCTACAGCACGGGCAGGGATGGGGGCGTAGAGCACCTCCCGGTAGGG